AATGGGTAAACCCCGGTCCCTAATTTTCTAACCCAAATCATGAGATTCGTTTAATATTAAAATGAAAATCAACAATAATTTCGACGAATCAGAACCTTTGATTTTGATTTCAAGATTAAATGAATATTATGCTTTATGTTAGTGAATTGGAGACTGGGGTACAACCATTAGGAGTTAGAGTATATTATCATGCCCCAAACTCTGGGTAATTCATTGTCTAAATAGAAAAAACTCAACGGGTGTACGGTAGGCTAGCGTACGTTAGGACGTACGCTAGCCTTTGCCATATATATAGTTGGATATTGTAACATTCATCCTCATTCAAATTTTTCTGCAACGAAAGTGAAAGTAAGAAGGGTATTTTTGTTTTCACAATAATCTATTTGTTTCTCAATATTCCTAAAAAAAGAAACACATACTAGGGATTTGAACTGTGGTAATTTTTAATGATGACAAGAATCTTAACCAATCAAACTACAAAATTAGTTGTATCTTTTTAAATAAAAAAATATACGTGAAGCTAAAATTAAAAAATTATAGAACTTTTCAAAAGTTAGCTAAGGCCACTAAATCTTCGGTTGGTACTTATTAGTGTTTTGATACTTCGATTTCATATTTAATTATTTCAATTATACTTTGATATTTAATTTAAATTTTTATTTATCTTATAAATAGAGGATAACTTTAAAATCAGAGACCAAATATTATTGGTTAAATTATTATATATTGAATTGCAATATCGAATTTGTAGAAGGGATGTTGAACTCTTACATTAGTATTAGTTTATATAACTACTATGAGGCAATCATATTCATATCTTTCTGCAAACTATATGGGGACGGGTTCTTTGAACATTTTAGCTCGGCTAATCGTTAAATTTTAAAAATCTTCCTAATCCGACAGGCATGATTGGATCCAACAATCATTAGACGAGGTTGTGTTCAATAGGTTGGTTTATTTCATCTTTTTATGTATTAAAATGAATTTGTAGAACAAAGACATGTCTACATGTACACTCTACACAATATATACTACTAACATGATAAATTTTCATCCCATTTCAAATTTCCTACATAAAGAGCAAAAGTATGAATGACATTTTTGTCTACGCCATTATTTATCTTTATTTTGTATAGAAAATAGACAAGTATTGGGATTTGAACTAATGTATCTTCAAAGAGAGACAAGAGTCATAACCATGATTGTCAATTCGAGTATTACTCAACTAGTCGAACCAATTCTACCTAAACCTGAGTATCTCATCGGGTGTCGAAGGCCTAGTAGGTTGTCTATTTGTGCTCGGTCAAAGTCGAGTTTGTCTATCTCATCAGGAAAATCCGGCTGATTTAAACAACTTATTCGAGCACCGGGCCACTTCAAAATTATGTTGTTTTCAACAATTCGTATACGTAGCTACGTTGTCATATCATCCTTTTACTTATCACAGAACCATACAACATGAAACATTATAGACCATGTTCGACTATCCCATCGTCTCTTCTTCTTGCTTTAGATTCGAGAGCCTACAATACAAGGTCCAACCATCTTAAAAGCCATCATAATCCCACAATAGTAAATTTCATTTTTCTCCAGCTGCACAGTCATTGAGCTAGTCGAACTCATCTCATAAGTAAAAATGATTAGATAAACATGCATTCGAGTTGAAACTTTGTGTGACTAACAAAGGCCAAATTTCCCATTTAATTATTTTGTAATACTTAATTAAATTCCTATATATCTTATAAATATAGGATAACTTTAAAATCGCGGTCCAAATATCATTGGTTCGAATATTCCATATTAAATTGCAGTATTGAATATGTAAAAGTGATGTATAATTCTTAAATTATTATTAATCTTTAGACTTACTATGACACAATCGTATTCATATCTTTGTGTAAACTATATGGGACTGGTTCTTTGAACATTTTAGTTCGGCTAATCGTCAGATTTTAAACCCCTTCTTATTCTGACCTGATTGGATCAAACAATCATTAGGAGTTTAATAAGTTGGTTAATTTCACCTTTTTTTAATGTGCTAATGAATTTGTAGGGAAATGACATGTCTTTATTTTAAACCCCTTCAAATTTTCTACAACGAGAGCGAAAGTAGAAATGATATTTTTGCTTCACAATTATTTTACAGAAACTACAAACTTCCAAAACCCTGAAATTGTAACTCAAACTAAAAATCATGGCATCGAATATCAAGGTTCACAAATTTTATTTCATATACACTCATTTGAGAGATTTTTCTCTCTATAAACAGAATAAAATGAAATAAGTTATACCCAAACCAACAGCTTTGGCTCGAAGATGATGACTCGCTATTTCGTGCGAGAAATGAATACATGCGGTGCCGTCAGAGATCCAGAGAGCAAAGAGGAAAAGGATACACCACGAGTTCGTGAATGAGGTCTGTGAAATAGATTATCAAATCACGGTCTTGGGGCTAAATAAAAGGATAGGAGATTAGTTAGATGGTTGATGATATAGAATTTGCCAATTTGGTACATCTACAAGAGATCTCCAGCGTCGGCTTAGAAAACAAAGAATTGAAGGGGAAGAAGAAGATATAGACTCTTTTATTAACAACTAATTGAGTGCATGAATGTGGATAAACGATGCACTCATTTCTCTTTTCCTTTTAAAAATGGAACTAAAAACTTCAATAAAAAACTAAAAAACAGTATCGTAAACTTTGGTGGGTTTCTATTAAACTTTTGAAGTCTGTTCCTTTTCCAGACCCAATCAGATTATTTAATGCTACTATCCTACAAAATGATTTAAAAAATAGGAGACTTTCCTAGTCAGATGATGTACTGGCTCCCCTCAGTACCTGACAGTTTTGAGTGCTGGAGAATTAAGGTAAAGACAAAAGACTGGAAAAAAACCTAACAAAGACTTAGGAAACTTGTTAACAGAAGACATCTATTGCTGGCCCCTTTGCTGCTCCAACGCTCAACCCCGCCCTGCATTAATCGACTCTCATGTAAGCCGATGACGTTTTCTTGAGGAGGCCTCAGGGGTCTCTTGATGCTCCGTATGCCGAAGATCAATAAAAGTATTGGTGAATTCGGCTATACGGTACACCGGCAAATAAGCGCACTAGTCCTCCTTAACATAAACCCCCATATCAATACCAACCCTTTCAAGAAAGGTGGTCATGAAGGTGGCATAGGGAAAGGGAGTATACTAGTTTTCCCCTTTAGGAGCTGCCTCAACCATGTTCAGACACATGAGAGATGCGAGGTTAACAGGAACACCTCTTTGAGCTTACACAAGGACAAACAAGTCAAGTTTACGAATAATCGAATGACCACGGTACCTTGGCAGGAAGCAGTTGACGATCAACTGTTGGTTGCGTCGAGCGCGAGGCTTTTATACCTGTAATAAAAACTTACTCACAAAACAAGAGTTAGAATGATTACGAACTCTAATTTTAATTTATTAACCTAACTATTATAAATCTCACTTAATTAGTGATATTGTCAAATCAATTAATAAATCCCACCAACTCACTTTCCACTTTAATTGGACTAACTAATCTATTCCTACACTAGTAGATTCTCGGGTCCTTTAATTCCAATGGGCTTGAGAATTTACAGCCCACTTACAACCTAGCTAAGAAGAACACGTCCGACCCAGCCCAGCCTATTAAAAGATCCGGTCCAAACTCTAAGTGACCAAAGCAATACGACGGTGTATCAACTTCAAACTACTTCTTCCCTCCCAATGGACCCTTCGATCAGATTTAACCAGTTTCTATTGAAAAGAAGAACAGAACCAAATATTAAGAACACAGCAGCTAAAAACCCAGGCAATGATGAATAGAATTCGCCCAAACTCAAGTTCAGAGAATTCCTCAATCCTATCCAGGCCTGTCACCTTTCCAGGCAGCTTATGATTCGAGTTTCCTGCAAAATAAAGCCTGGAACAGAATGCAAACAGAGGCAAATATAAACTGGAAAATGAAACCCAGAAGGCACACCCAACACACGATTTTTACGTGGTTTCCAGTATTGGGAGAATGAGGATCCCAATACTGACTACTCCACGGTCAGAGAATCACGATCGAGTGATCTCTGACGATTCACTATGATATGGCGTTGAAGTTCTTCGTTACAAGCAATCTACCCAAGAGCCCTTTGATCAACCTCTACCCGATTGATCTAGCTCTCTTTTCTCAAACCCGAATTGCTTCCCCAGCAACTCGAAACCAGTGTTTCCCCAACACTAACCCTCAAAGCAATTCTCCCCGAACCCTTTGAGAAAACCCCCTTTCCTATCAACCTTGCTACTCTCACAAAATCCCCTTTTGTCTTAGCTAGCTATGTTGATCTCTTGAAAGGTTGCCTTGCTCTTCCTTCAAATCGCCTTTTATAGGCTGCAAGGTAGCTGTTGAGAATTTGAATTCCCTTGAGATCTTCAAGTATGGTAAGTTTATATTCTTTCTCCTTTTTGGTTTGTAAACTTGCCTCAATTGCTTTTGGGACAGCCACTGATTTTCCACCTTGATTTTCATATTTGAATCTTGCCTTGGTCTTCAAGTTGAATCAAGATGTTCTGCCTTTGTCAAGTTGATGCTAACATTCTCCCCCTCAGCTTGATAATGGCTGACTTTCTCCCCCTGAACAGAAGGTCCTAGAGCTTGTTTCACCTTTTCAAAGTTCACCCTTTAAGCTGCTCACCGTAATCAAAACCTGCACACTTAAACACACCATTGGTGCAGCCTGTCCATTCCTTAAATCATGGCAGCAAGTTTCAAGCGTATACTAGAGGCAAATAGGAGTCCATTTTATTCAAGGAAACATAAGACACACCACCAGACACTTGACACGAGGTCTGAACACCTCTACCTTGACTCTATCTTAACCAGAACTACAATTAACCCTTGAAGCAAACTTAGCAACCAAAACATACTTAATAACCAAAAGCAAACTCTTTAATCAAAGCAAACATTCATGGAACTCCCCCTAAGTCTAACAACAAGACGATTCCTAGTAGGTGTACTCTGGAGATGATGCATATTCAGATGGATCGACTTCCTCATCCTCCGAAGGTACGAATAGAACCCTGTTGACTCGCTTGCAAGAGGAACTTGCCTCGTTTCCCTTCAGGACCAAGGTAAAGTCACGAATAAGGCTTTTACCTTCCTTTTCCAGCCTTAATCCTTCCTGAACGTGATCCATACTCCGAGACTTCTTCCGCTTTGCAGACCATTCGACTACCCCTTTTCCTTTGTCAAGGCTGCTGATTTCAACAGCAGCTAGCTCAGCTGTCTTGCCCTTCATCCACGCCTCCTCTTCCACTTCATGTTCCTCTTCTGCAGAATCTGTTCCAGCCTTAGCAGAATCTGTTCCAGCCTTAGCAGCTTTGTCTCCCCCTTGAACTTTGGCAAGTTTACGGGGTGCAAGCTTCGAGAGGGTACGTCTCAACACATGTTGTGCTTGCAGAGATTGCTCGGTACCATGGTGAACGAGAAAGTGAGAAGAGGATTTTTTGCTACTGCCTTTTGGATAGAGATGCTGGGACGAGGCTTTCACAGGAACAATGTATGCTTTATAGTGACGATTTCTAGGACAGAACTGGAAAGAGTTTGAGATAGGGAAGTTCCAATCAACCCATTTAACTTGGTCAATTAATAGGTGAAGATTGGATTCTACTGCATCCCCAGTCATGAGCGTCATGCTTCCTTTGGGAAAGAAGTGATAGAGCTTTTAGGAAACAGATCGGAAGGAAAGGGAGGAAGAAATAGCTGTACTTATTCAAAGAATCTCACGATTGCTATACGCATCAGGGAGTTGACCAGGGCAATTAATCTCACTCTGACTTACACAGGAAGGAATTATGAAGATGGAAGGTTGAATCAACCGAATTGAGGAAGCAAATGAGACATAAAGATTTTGATTCTCCCGTATCCTCTGTCAACGGAAAGAGACTTCCTTGAATAGATGATTGAGGAGACGAATTTTTGGGAAGAGATTGATCGAGCAAGAACTTAGGGATTTGGCGGCAGGTGAAGAGGGAAGGTCGCGAGCAACTGCTGATCGGGAATTGGTCGAGAGTCAGGGGAATCGCTGGGGGGAATTGGGCTCAGCCGCTCAGGCCCACAACCCAGTGAGAGACTCCAGCTCGGCTTAGAGGAAAAGATTGGGAGCAGTTAGGTGAGTGTTGTACCCCGTATCTCCACCATGACAGGGAGGTACGTGGGCTTCGGCCCATAAGATCAATACCAGGCCGAGAGGATGAGCATACCCGAAGAGAAGAAGTTTATTTTAAGTTCAAGCAGTACAACTCATTTTTGGAATCTCAACACAAGATGATTTTACTTTAATTCATTAATCTCACTAGAAAGGATTAGTCCAAGTTCTCGACGAATGGTTAGAAATTGATCAACACTTAGAGGTTTAGTAAAAATATCAGCCCATTGATTTGTTGTAGGCACAAACTCAAGCTGAATTTGGCCTTCTTCAATCAATTCTCGAATGAAATGATACCTAATTTCTATGTGCTTGGTTCGAGAATGTTGTACGGGATTTCTTGCCATGTTAATGGCACTCGTATTGTCACACAATACGGGCATGGACTTTATTTCTAACCCATAGTCACAAAGTTGATGCTTCATCCAAAGGAGTTGAGTACAACATAGGCCTGCGGCCACGTATTCAGCCTCAGCGGTGGAGAGAGCAACAAAACTTTGTTTCTTACTAAACCAAGACACAAGTGAATTTCCTAGAAATTGACATGTCCCGGAAGTACTTTTACGATCAACTATGCATCCAGCATAGTCTGAGTCACTATAACCAATTAACTCAAGACTTGACTCACTATCATACCACAGACCTAGATCCATTGTACCAGCCAAGTAACGAAAGATTCTCTTGACTGCAGTCAGATGACTTTCCTTAGGAGCACTTTGAAATCTAGCACATAGACACACACTGAATTGAATATCGGGTCTACTAGCAGTGAGATACATTAGCGACCCAATCATTCCTCTATAGAACTTCTCGTCAATTGACTTGCCCGGCTCATCCTTGTCTAGTTTAATTGTAGAGGCCATAGGTGTATTAGCAGTTTTTAAATTCCCAAATTCAAAACGTTTTAACATATTTTGAATGTACTTGGTTTGACTAATGAAAATACCTCGAGTTGTTTGTTTAATTTGCAAACCTAAAAAATATGTTAATTCTCCCATGGCACTCATTTCAAAAGTTTTCTTCATGATACTTTCAAAATACTCGCACAACTCTTTGCTAGAAGATCCAAATATAATGTCATCAACATATATTTGAACTAGTAGCATATGTTGTCCTTTATTTTTTATAAAGAGAGTTTTATCCACTGAGCCTCTTTGAAAACCTTATCCTAAGAGAAAAGAACTAAGTTTTTCATACCATGCTCTTGGTGCTTGTTTAAGTCCATATAGTGCCTTCTTTAATTTATAGACATGGTTTGGGTATCTAAAGTCTTCAAAACCGGGTGGTTGTTCCACATACACTTCCTCTTTTAAATCGCCATTTAGAAAGACACTTTTGACGTCCATTTGAAAAAGTTTGAAACCCTTAGAGCTAGCAAACGCACATAACATTCTAATAGCCTCTAATCTAGCTACCGGAGCAAAGGTTTCATCGAAATCTATACCCTCTTCTTGATTGTACCCTTTAGCTACCAACCTAGCCCTATTTCTAGTTGATACCCCATTTTCATTTGACTTGATCTTGTAGATCCATTTGGTCCCGATAATAACTCTATTAGGAGGCCTGGGTACTAACTCCCACACATTAGCTCGTTCAAACTTACTCATTTCATCATTCATAGCAGCATTCCAGTTTTCATCATTCAAGGCATCTAACACGTTTTTAGGCTCAACCAATGACACAAAACAGTATGCACAATTGAATTTCTAGAGCGAGTGACCATACCTTCATTAAGCCCTCCTATCATAAGTGAAGAAGGATGACGTTTGGGAATATGAGGAGGAGGTTGTCTTACTTCATGGTCTTGCTCGATCGAAGAGTTTGTAGTACTTACTGCTTTATCTTGGTCTTCAGATATGATCGTTCTAGGTTCAGATTTCTCCGTGATAGATGTCCTTGGTAGATCATAGCTCCCACCAAGTCCAAAATCATCTTCATCTATCTCATCTGAACACTCATTAGCAGATTCATCAAATATCACATTTATGGACTCTTCCACTTTGAGAGTCCTTTTATTGAATATTCTATATGCTCTGCTAGTCATGGAATAGCCCAAAAACACACATTCATCGGATTTAGCATCAAACTTCCCAAGATGATCTTTGGTATTTAGTGCAAAGCACTTGCAACCAAAGGGATGGAAGTAACTCAGATTGGGTTTTCTTCCTCTCCAAATCTCATAAGGAGTCTTCTTAATTCCAGATCTGATCAAAGCTCGATTAGTAATATAGCATGCAGTATTGATGGCTTCAGCCCAGAAGTACTTAGGCAAACCATAGTCATGTAACGTTTTTCGAGCTATGTCAATTAAAGTCCGATTTTTCCTTTCCACCACTCCATTTTGTTGCAGAGTTCGAGGAGCAGAAAAATTGTGACTTATCCCTAGCTTATTGCAGAAGAGTTCAAACTCTTCTGAGATAAATTCTCCACCATGATCACTTCTGATGCTAGCAACCTTAGATTGTTTTTCATTTTACAATTTCCTAGTTAGAGACTCAAAATTTTGAAAAGCTTCACTTTTGATGGCTAGAAACAATACCCAAGTGAAACGAGAGTAGTCATCTACAATTACAAAAGCATAGGACTTACCTCCATAGCTTATCACATTGGTTGGTCCGAAGAGATCAAGATGAAGTAGTTCAAGTGGTCTCGATGTCGATATTACCGACTTACTCTTGAAGCTTGACCTTGTATGCTTCCCTTTAGCACAAGCATCACAAAAGAATTCCTTTTTGCCTTTTAACTTAGGCAGACCTCTGACTAGCTCAATATCACTAAGTTTAGACAGAATTCCTATACTCACATGTCCAAGCTTCCTATGCCAATCTATTTGATCATTCTTTTCTAATGAAATTAGACAAGTTACCTTGAAACTTTCTTTATCATCTAGATCTATGACATATAACTTATTTTTACGTCTACCGGTGAAAAGCACTTTCTTATCCACCAAAGACTCGATGTAGCAGCAATCATGTTCAAAAATTATCCTCTTATCTCTAGCAAGTTCTATATTTTTCATTTTGTATTCTCTTTCTGCATACTCGCCTAATGTGCCCAACTTTATGACAATAAAAACATTCTATGTTTCTATATCTTTGTGTTAATGTTCCATTCCTCTCATGCTTAATTGATTCTCCAAAAATCTTCGACTTACCTTTACTACATGAATTTGATCCTAATTTTTCACAACATCCCTTAGTGGAATGATTTAGGTAAGATTTACCTTCCTTTTTCAGAGATTCACTCTTACTCCCTTCTAATGATACTTGAAGTTTTGTCGTGAGACTCGATTTCTCATTTTCTAAAACTTCAACTTTCTTAGCAGTTTCATCTAACTCTTCTTTTAATCTGATCGCCTCCTTCTTTAGTTCATCATATTCAATGATTATTTTGGCATGATCAGATTTCAGTTTAGAGTATTTTACTTTAACGTTTCCAAACTCTAACTGAATTTCCTTGATAGTGGATACTAATAGATCATCATCACTATAGTAATCACTGTCACTGAAATGAGTATGGTTGGAAGGTTTTACCTCGTTTGAGTTATGTCTTTCTGATGGCTCTTCAACATCAATTGCCATGTAGCTTTCTTCTCTTGTTTCCTCTCCATCCTCATCTTCTTCTTCGCTACAGCTCCATGTTGCAGCCATGGCTCGTTCTTTTCTTGCTAGAGGGCATTCAGCCTTGATATGCCCATTTTTTCCACATCTAAAGCATCCGGTTGTGTTTTGAACCTTAACCGGCTGAAGTTGTTCAATCCTGCTTGTGGAAAGTTCTTGATTGAGGGTATTTTGTTGTAACACCTTCTTTCTCAACTTCTCTATTCTTGTTGATGAAGTTTCCTCTTCGTTTTTCTCTTCTTACTCGAAGTAGTCTACTAATTTGTTTGCTTGGTAGAGCCAATTCCTCATCCTCCATATCATCGAGATCTTCTGTGTCTTCATTGTATGTGGTAGCCTTGAAGGCTATCCCCTTTTTCCCTTTATTATGATTTCCCTTGTTGAGCTTGTCCTCATGAGTTGCTAATGACCCTATGAGTTCATCTATAGCTAACTTCTCTAGATCTTTAGCTTCCTCTATTGCAGTTACCTTTGGAGTCCATTGCTCTGGGAGACTCCATAAGGTTTTTCGAACAAGATCTCCACTTTCATATGATTTCCCAAGATTCTCCAGACTGTTCACAATGTTTGTGAAACGCTCGTACATTTGCCGGATTGTTTCTCCTTCTTCCATTTTGAACAACTCGAATTGCTGTTTTAAAGAATTAATTCGAGAAGTTTTGACTTGAGATGTACCTTCATACGTAACCTGAAGTTTATCCCAAATTTCCTTAGCAGTCTTGCAACCGGCAACTTTGTGATATTCTTCTGGACCGAGTGCACAGTACATAAGATTAGTTGCCTTGCAGTTTTGTTAAAATTTTTCAAAGTCCTCGTCAGTCCATTTTTCTTGATCCTCTTTGAGCTCATACGGACCCTTGATGACTC